TAACAACCTTAAATAAAACATACCTTTTCATAATATTTGTAAAAACCAGCATATCAAATTTGTGCAAAAGTCCCAAAAAAGAAACTCTTCACCGACTTTCAGAAATCTAACACTGGAAGATATCTATGAATGTACAAGTATGTAGTTGATCATATTCTACCTCCCTCAATTCCCAGATCCCCTGGTACACTGGTAAAATGGAAACATCTCAAATGCTTCAGTTGGAGAAACTCTTCTATAAACATTATCCAAGAAGAGAGGCTGAACAATAACGATAAGGAATCAAGGGAATCAGACAAAGGGTGTTTGACGAGAATGTCTAAATCTTGCTGAAAACTAGGCATAATTCTGAGATTTTAAACATATTCATCTTGCTATTGTGGATGTTCACATCTTCAAAATCTCACCTGGACCTACATCCACCTGTGTTCTTTTTCATATAAAACATAATCTTAGGCCCTGTATCAGTCATTGTGCAGGAATTGTGTATTTCCTCTGTCAAGTTGGCAGAAGAGGTTAAAAGATTTCTGTTACATTACTGCCCTTGAGCCTTTCTATTAAGGTAACACAAACCAAACCTTAAATGCATTTGTGCAAAACCAAAGACTCTTCCCCTATGCCTGTGATAAGAAAGCCCCTACCTACGTGTGTTTTCTCTATTGGTCGAAACTCCTTTCACTCTGGTGATTATGTGCGTCTTTACCCCCTGAACCTTTGAACTTCTCTTTTGACTCTTGCAGCCCATTAACTGGACAGTCCTGGCCTTTTCTTCGCCCAAGTGAGAGCTGATTCTCTGCTTATCCTTCAGGACAGTATTCAAACAGCATCACCTCCTTTAGGAAGCTCTGTGAAATGCCAGAGCCCACTTGGCCCCTCTCCTTTGTTTTGAAGCTGTTTCTGTGAATCCCCATTTTGTCATTGAACTTGCCACACTTTGTTATCATACTTGGCAATGATATCCTCGTAGGGCAGCAGTTCTCAAGTTTTGCAATATATTAGAATCATAAATACTTAATTAAAGCCCAAATCTCTGGGGAGGCAAGGCCCAGGCAAGGCATTTTCAAAAGCAGCATTTCCAAACTTTAATGTACCCATGGCTCACCTGGGAATCTTGTTAAAATGTAGATTTAGATATAATAAGATCTTGGGGACAAAGGGGCAAAGTTCTGCCTCTCTAACAAGTGTCCATGCAATTGTTATATACTACTTATGGCAAAACATCTCTAAGTGGCTTCCAAATAATCAAGCCTTTTAGGAAAGCTATCCTATCTGTATCCACATCTGTGTCTCAAGCCAACAAACTCTCTCCATAGGCAGGGTCCCTTCTGCCTACCCGGCAGCTCTTTCTTAACCCTGCTTGTGTTGTCCATTTTAGGTGTGAAGTGCCGAGATTTCCTCCAGCATCAGAATTTGGTGTGGCAACATATCAGCTCTAATAGGCCTTCAGCACTTTCCCTTCCCAGCTGTCACTTGTACATGTTTGTGCACCAGGGAGTATTAACACAGGAGGAGGAGGAAGCGCCTTTGCCAAGTACCATCTCGTCCTCACTCTTCTGCCACTGGCTCCTGCACCTGCACTCCCTGTTTTGCTTCTGTTTTCCCCTGTGGGTCTCCCTATTTTCTCTCCTCTATACCTGCATGTCCCCACATGATGTCTCACTTTGTCCTGAGTCTGCCATGGCCTGAACCCACGGTAACTAGAACAAATCACAGATAAAGAGGTTGACAGTGTGACCCTGTCTTTCCTCCACTGCGAGTGCTGCTTGCTCAGCTACAGTACTAGGTCACAGTCAACTCTGTCCTTCAGGAATACAAGTCTGGCTTACCCACTCTAAGCAAGGATTCTAGTACCAGAATCCTATACAAGTCCAGAGTTTCAACGGTAGGTGGCGCTGCATTCCTGTTGACAGTGTCGTTATATTGAGTTTGGGTTTTGAGTAATTGCTGCAGTAAAAAGCAATCATAGTACCCAAGTCAGTGTAGACAAGGAAACAACTGAGAAACTGTGCAATGCCTAATGCAATCACATGTTCCACTTGTAAGTAACTAGTTATTTAAAAGTAAAATAAAATACAGATTTTTTTTTTCTGTCAATTTGTATTAGTTTTTCAAGTGGTTATAGGTTGTTGGAACAGATTAAATTGTTTACACCTCACTGTCTATACAAGGAACTATTTGGTGTTTCTCTTAGCCTGCAGACACTGTGAAAATAGACTCTGAGAACCAAGAAAGGTTTGGGAACTTTTTCTTCTCCCAATGATTCCTGACCTAGTGGGGCTGCATGATAACCCCAGGAGTCTGTTCCATTCCAAGTCATTCAGAAGTGGTCCAGTGTGTTGCTACAAGGGAGGAGAAAATCCTTGTCTTCTCATTTGGGGCTTATTGTCTCTTTCTATTCTTAGCTGCAGTGGAAAAACACTGTGGACTAATCCTTTTGTCTGTTGAGATCACTTAACTTCCAAAGACAGTTTTGGGGAAATTCCAAAGCTATTGTTTTAGGAACACTTTTTAAACATATCTGACAGGGCAGTGCAAGCAGGTGAGACTGACATTCTCCCAGGAGAAGCTAAGAGAGCAGCAGGGAGTGGCTCACAGGCTGGTAAGGTAGGAAAAGTTGCATGGAATATTCAAATCCAGCTAAAGCTGTGGCTGTGAAGGGATTTTGTCACAATTCTCTACATTCCCCACTCACAGAGAGATTCCTTAATTAGCCCATTTCATTTCTGCAGTGATTAAAAAGTCAGTATTCCTCTTTAGTAAGTTACATGTTGAATTCATTGAACACACACCCCACACACCAGGAATTTTTTTTGTCCCGCTAGTAATGACCTTGTATACCTACTATGCACCAAATGCCAGTGCCTGTCTCAAACACACAGTGACTCCACCAGCTAGACACTGCTGTGTGCACATTCTGGAAAGGCCCTTAACCTGCCCAGTCGCAAAATTGGCAAGTGGTGGCACATCACTGCATTCTTGGATCTGCTGGAGTTTGCAAGCTGCAACTGCAGCCCTGGCTGTGCTACAACTCCTAGCAATCACTGTTAACAACTCCAGTGCTGGCTCCATGGCCCCAAACATCCTCGCCCTGCTTCTAGACTAAACAGTATAGTTAAGTAAACTGGCATCACACCTTCATAAGAAAAGCAGGCAGGGAAAAGCGGGGGGGGGGGGGGAGGTGATCAACCTTTGAGATAAAACACTTTTGGGGGGCCCGGCGCGGTGGCGCAAGTGGTTAAGTCCTCGCCTTGCACGCCCGGGATCCCATATGGGCGCCGGTTCTAGTCCCGGCAGCCCCACTTCCCTTCCAGCTCCCTGCCTGTGGCCTGGGAAAGCAGTTGAGGACGGCCCAAGGCTTTGGGACACTGCGCCCGCGTGGGAGACCCGGAAGAGGCTCCTGGCTTCGGATCGGCATAGTATCGGCCCGTTGCGGCTCACTTGGGGAGTGAATCATCGGACGGAAGATCTTCCTCTCTGTCTCTCCTCTCTGTATATCCGCCTTTCCAATGAAAAAATAATAAAAATAAATCTTTAAAAAAAAAAAACACTTTTGGAAAAAAAAAACCTGTGACAATAATGCCACATTGTTGTGAGATGTGCTTTAAAGAATTTAAGACTTTTTTAGAACCATCAGTTTATTATCTTCTCGTTATTCAGACTTCAGAAAGGATGTGAAGTAAGGGAGTTGTCGTCAGTATTCACACAGTGTGTGAATTTCTCGGCAGGTATGTGGCTAGATCCTTGGGGACCTGAGTTGATGTTCGCCCTTTTGCTCAGTACGTCCTCTCCTACTTTATTCCACATTAATAATTTACTTCAATGGAACACTGACGAGTTGCCGCAGCTCAAGTCATAGATGGGTTGTCTTCATTCGCAGTGGTAAATACTTGACAAGAACTATTTGTATACAGATATTCAGAGCTATTTGATGACAGAGTGAAGTGTAACATGAAGCTCTTGCAATCTGCAAATTTGAAATTATTTGCATACTGTCCTAAGAAAGATATTTTAAAAAGCCTCAGAGCTACACTCCCAAATGCAGACATTTGATCTTCTGTATTTTTACATTCATCGTCAGTCTGTGCATTCAAGAGATGAGTGACAGTAACTTTTCTTATCTGTATTACCACATGAAACCTAGAACCTGCAAAGTACAAAGAGCCCTGTTCTGTTTTGGATTGTGGCAGTATGCAGATATTCTGGAACAAGAACGTAGCAGCTGGTCAAGTTTCAGGGACCCCCGTGATGACAGTCCACGCGAGCCACTTGCCTGACTCTGTGCGAGCTACAGTTAGTGATTTTTTCCTGGTTGGCTTTCTGAGTCAACAAAATCTTGGATGATACTCAGAAATAGTACGTTTATGTAACCGTTTTTCTCTTTTGTAAGCCTTACTACAATTAAATCACAAGGCTTTGAAATGCTGGGCTCTTGCCAGTTAGGAGTAATCATCATTGTATCAGCAGCAGCGGCCCCCAGACTAAGGCAATGGGGGGTTTTGGCTGCGAAGGACTCTTAGGTCAGAGAGATTGGACACACCCAGAAGCCAGCAGTAGGGAGAAACAGTGAGGATGGAACTGGCCAAAGGAGTCAAGTGTAGGATGTTTGCTTTCAGAAAGAGGCAAGGGAGCCTAACTTTCCTTACAGCTTAATCACCCAGTGCCTATTTTTAGTACATCTTCCTTCATTGAATAGTTAGGCTACGTTTTTTAGGCTGCAATAAAAATTAAAGGATTTGTGATAATCCTATGTGGATGGTTGTGGGTGTTTCATTTGCAGTAGGAACATTTTCTCTTCCTTTGTTGCAGTGTTAACATTTCTAAGCTCCTTGCTACAGTCATCTTCCTGAAACTACTCAAGTAGAAAGAAAAAAAAGGTCTTCCTAGATCAGCAAGGATTCTTACTCTATTGGGAAGAGTTCACACCCTCCCAGTCTATTTATAAGCAATAACTTCTTCAGACTTTTAAATGCAGACTGTCAACACACCCAAAGGAATCTTACCTTGCCCACGTACTGGTAGTCGGATCCTGTGTATTCCTCCAGCAGAAAGAACTGATTCCACATCCAACTCCTTTTGGAACGGTTCAGCTCATTTTTGCTGTTTCCGGAGATCTCCAGGGCCTTTTTCTTGGCTGGAAAACCACTAGTCCTCTCAGATAACGGAGCTGAAAATGTTGGGTAGGGCTGACCAACCCAAAAGAGCAGCAAGAAGTAGTGGTAAGTTCTCATGCTGATGGCACAGTCAAGTCTCTGGCTGGGGAGCCTCCTCTTGTCGAAGCGCTTGTTCTCACTGCACCGTGGCCAGCCTCATTTCCCTTTCTTTCCTTAATGTTCTCCACTTGGCTCTCAGAGGATATCTGGAAAGAATAATAACATATCAAGCATTTTTAGAGATGCTTAAAATTCAGTGTTAGAGCAAATAGGCTGGAAAAAGAGGACAGAAATCTGAATAGCAAAGCAACAACAGAGAAAGTTGGCTATCCATTTCGAATTGAAGAAAATGGTCTTTCAGCTCTGCTGAGTGGAAGGCACATACCGTGTAGGAAGCTTCTGTTTCCTTTCTCCTTTCCTATCACTTAAAAATTCTATTTTAAGTAGCAGTGTTGGTACAGGTCAACCTGCCAGAAGGGATTCTTTCACTATTTTCTTACCTCGGAGTACGTGGGCTGAGATCTGGTTAGAAGAAACCAGTTTGTGTTTTTGATTCTATTTGCATACCTATCCTCGTGAACAGGGCTAGGGCAAGGGCTATCAACAGACAATTCCCATGCAGTTGGAAGTGGATAATGCGAGAGCTCCACCGGGACGTATTGAACACTTCCATAGGAGCCAACGCAGAGCCTGATCTGCAGACTCTTGGCTTCAGCGAGATGCTGCGATAGAACACTTTGGGTCAAACGAGGTTGGAAAAAACCTTACACTTCGCTTCAGAATGCAGGTTTACATACTGAAGTTGCGGAAGAGAGATTTTTGCCACGATGATAACAAGCCTGTATGGAACCCAGCATTTCCTGAGTGTGACCAGAAGCATCTTGTCCACCTTGTAGTAACAGTACAGGATGGATTAATGAACAACCTATAGTATTTAATAGGATAGAAATGAGGGGAGCAATTCTACCTAAATATCTTTAGGAAATCCTGGGTGCTCACATAAAATTTCATTCGTCTTATAAATAATCAAGTATGTAAGTGAACGGTCAAAGAGTTTCCATGTGATTTCCACAGAAATGGCTCAGTATCGCAGTGAGAGCCATCCAGGGCAGGGCATTCTGAAAATTCAGCTATTGTTCTCACTGGAAATAATTTTCCAAGGCAGACACTGATTTACAAGAAAGCAGCCTACTGTTTAAGACATCTTGAAGCCAGGCTGCTTGGCAAAAAATCCAAGTTGGTTTACTAACATGTAATTCAAGTCAAATATGCTTTTATCTCCTTTGTACACTTTTCCAATGTGTTGGGGAGTAGAGGAAAACAGCAAGTTTACCTTGGCATTTCATATAGAAAAAAATGACTCAGAGAATACTAATACTCTGCTTCCCCAGGGATCCTGGTCTCCCATTTGAGGTTTCCCGGTCTCTCTCCGGGGACCTCAGGGTACAGATTCTTACCACTACAGTAAAAGGGCATTTTGAAAAATATTTATTTTATTTTTATTTGAAAGGCAGAATTATAGAGAGAAGGAGAGATGAAGAGAGAGAGATAAAGACTGATTTTCCATTTGCTGATTTACTCCCAGAATGGCCAGAGCTGAGCTGATGGAAAGCCAGGAGCCAGGAACTTCTTCCAGGTTTTCTGTGTAGGTGTTGGGTCTTAAGGTTTTGGATCTTCCTTGTCTGCCTTTCTAAGTCATAAGTAAGGAGCCGGATCAGAATTGGAATAGCCAAAACACGAACCAGCTTCCCTATGGGGTGCCAGCACTGCAGATAAAGGCTTATTCTACTAAGCCACAGTGCTGGCCCAAGGATGTATTTTTTTTTAAAGTAGAACATAACAGTAATTGAACTGGCATATTTATTCCAAAGCATGCTGATAAAAATGCATTTTAGATAATCTGGTGAGTGTTTTTTCCATTGGTGCCAGGGAAGATCAGCTCCCATGATTCCATTCTTTTATTGGGTCTTTGTTGTTGTTTACTATTTTTCTCCCCAGTGATGAACAATGGCAACTATCTAATACATGGCTTAGGGAAAGCTTTTGGGTAGATGATAAGTGGAGTATTTCAGGGTATTCAGCATTTTGAAACCTTTATACCATTATTATGCATCTTCTTGACAGCAGGCTGGGGAACTTGAAAATTCCACAGGTGAGCAAATGAATACTGGCACAATTAATCACACTGGAAAAATGCCAGGCAACACTATGCTTGGCAGGATGAGACTCTGGCACAGGTGCGGGCAGAGTGACGATCAAATAGACGACCCGATTCTTCCATTTCCTGGTGGCTGGTGCCTACGGGCGTCTGTAAGGGCATATGGAGAAAAGCCCTAAGAAGGCTTCTATTCAATTTTGGGAGTAGATATTACACTGAGGTTGAGTCGGTGGAAATTACATCTTTTCTTAATTTCCCACATTCCCCATTATTTGCAAAGACAAATCCTGCAGTGAAGAATTACACGTCTGCCGCCGCACTCCGCATGCGCCCCATGACGCTGGCAGCAGAGGGGGAAGCAAGAGAATGGAGGTGTCAGCTCTTTCAAAGGCAGACTCGAAAGGCCATTTCACGGGAAAGTTGATCCCTGGGGGTGTTGTGTGCAAACTCTTCAAGCTGTTGCCACTTGAATATTAAATATTAGTTCTTTTTTAATATCACAGATACCAAAATGTCAAGTATTCTATTTTTTTTCCCCCGAGTTGATAATGAGCTAGTAAAGTGATGCAAATTTAAGCAGTTATTTCCAACTATGCTATAACATCTAGTTTTGCTTCATCCCAGTTCTTTTTGTATTAATTTGACAGGGTGAAGCCTTGTTCAAATTTCAACATGTAAGTCTGAATTACTGTGATCTGCTCGGATCTGATGCTGGCTTTTTAGAGGGCCGCTTTTCCCTGTGAAATGCTATGGTTAAATATCCCCTCTAAACAGCTGAACATGTAAGTTAGCCATTCTCTTTTATTATTTCTTAGTAGATAAGATTGCAATAAGCTCAAAATCATTGGTGCTGTAACCAGACTGCCCGAGTTCAACTGGAGGCTCTTGGGATCTCCATGGTGGCATGCTGCAATAAGCTGCTCCTTGCAATGGTGACAGCCCATATTGGGGTGCTTGTTTGCATCCCAGCTGTTCCATCTCTGCTCCAGCTTCTTGCTCACTTCTTGGGAGGCATTGTAGGATGGCCAGGGTACTCAGGCCCACTATGCTTGAGGGAGACCAGGGTGGAGCTCCTTACCTTTGGCTTCATCCTGGCCCCAGTCCTGGCTGTTGTGACCGTTTGTGAAACGAATCAGCTTCTCTGTCTTTTAAACAGATAAAATAGGCAAGCATGCACAAGAGATGTAGTTGCTTGCAATTTAATCTCTTGAACTTGAGAAAATGGCTTCATTTCATTGCACTTCTGGCCTCATGTGTAAAGGTAGACAGATACAGCAGCTATCTCCTGGGAAGGGTGTGGTACTGATTAAATGAGTCACCACATGTGAAACACTTAGCAGATGCCAGGCACTTACAGGCATTAATAAGTATCAACATGTATTACTATTGTTTCTGTTGCTTCTATTGCGTGGTGAGCCATCTGTAACACATTGAAGCAGTTTGTAGAAGATCACTTGGTTCTTAGGCCTAAGTAGGTTTTTGCTGTTCAGAGTCTCCAAACAAATAAGAATTCTTTTACAATTAAGAATAGAAGAACTTTAAAAATCAGAATGAATTAATGTGCTAATTGTTTTGCTTTGCAAGCCTTTAACAGTGGTAGTATGGCAAGAAGCAGAGAAAGCAGTTACCCCGTTGCTGCCATCTGTCTACATGAAGAAGGCAGAAGCAGAAGCTCACTACGCAGTGAGCCACTCATAGAATTGAAGTTATTTATCTTTGCATTTTATTGTTAAAAAAACTTATTTTTATTTGAAAGGCAGATATCTACAGATAGAGAAGTCTTCCTTCCGTTAGTTCATTCTCCACAGGGCTGCAATGGTCAGAGCTGAGTTGATCCGAAGCCAGGAGCCAGGAGCCAGGAGCCAGGAGCTTCTTCCAGGTCTCACACACAGGTGTATCGTCTGCAGCTTTCCTAGGCCATACACAGGGAACTGGATCAGAGGTGGAGCAGCTGGGATGCAGCAGGACACGAATTGGTGCCCAAATGGGATGCGGACACTGCAGGTCTGCTGTGCCACTCACTGCACTGGTCTCTGTTATGTTAAAATGTTAAAAAAAAATCATCTTGATTCAGATTGAACAAAAGTTAATTCTGTCTTTGTAAGCATGGGACAAGTGACAAATATGCTGATATAATCCTAATGTTATATCAGATGAAAATTTTATGCAATTAAAATGAATGGTGTCTCAGTGGCGGCATGATGGACTTATGAAAACTCATGAAAGACACGCATGCTAAGACTGGAGGGGAGGATGGAGGAAGAGAGGGAACTTGGGGAGGGGAAAGGGAGACCCCAGGACCTAATAAAATATGTCATAAAATTTAAAAAAAATCTTTAAAAAATAAGGCAAAAACTGAAAATAAAACTAATGGTGTATATAGTTTAGATTTTACTTCATAAAAGATGAAATTAAAAAAAAACCCAGCAAATTATAATACACTAAAATCCTGTTCAAAGATACAAAAATCCATCTGTGAAGGGTCTAAATGGTCTCAAGTTGCAGTGGTGGAGGGCAGGGCGCAGGTGCAGGGCAGCCTTGAGAAGGCAGGGATGCTGTGGATTTCTGGGTGGTGGAAAGGCAAGAGGACAGTATGTGGCCGGGAGGAATCAGCGGAAATGGGGGCTCATCTGGGAGATGCTGAACTGAAGTGACTAAGAAGTGGGGGCAGAGGCAGATAGAATTCTGAAATAGTAGACTTGGCTATTCCATCAGGAAAGAGCAAGGAGGTGAGAGAGTGAGAGGGAGAAGCAACACAAAGAGTAGATGTGTTCCTGCTCACCCTGCCCTCCTGGACATTAGGGCCGATCAGAATCCACAGCCACAGCTCTGTAAAGATCAAAAGTGAGCTGCCTAATTAGTCTAATGACCCTCTCACAGTGGACTTAACAGACACATACACCATGTCTCTCTAACTTTA